GTCACACTGAGGAGCCCAAGGGTGCGGGAAAGCAAAGCACGACCTGAGACCATGGAGTCCAGATGGTGCATCTGTGCTTGTGGTGGGGTTGGGGGTGTTTGACCTGGGCCTTGGAGGATGGGAAAGATTTTCAGAGGTGGGACAGGAAAGAGAAACTGACCTCCTTTTAGGTGAGAGCAACCAGAGGTGTGGACCAGGCAGCTGGTCTCCTGTCCTCCTATGGCCATGCTTGTTGTAATTCCCCATAGAATGATCGGGCTGCAGAGCACTGGAGAAAGAGGCAGGGGCTTGGGGTCAGGCCTGGGTATAACCTCCAACTCTGCCCCTTAGCAGTCTTTGGGTTGAGTTTCTACCTCTCAGAGTGTCAGTTCCCTCATCTCTAAAGTGGGCATGATGGTACCTACCTCTCAGGGATGTCTTGCAGGTTAAGTGAGAGCATGTGTGTAACGTTTTCAGCAGGGCTTGGGAGAATGTGACTTCAGTGAGAGGGAAGTTGGTATGAATTTAATCTTCCTAGCAGTTCTGTGAGGACTGTGGCATTATCTCCAGTTTACATTTGGGAAGACTGAGGCTCAGACAGAAATGTCCTCAGGGCTAGAGGTGGCAGAGCCTGGACAGGAACTCAGATCTTTTGCCTCCAAGCCCTCTAATTCTTGTTCCATCCCAGTTCCATCCCAGCTGGTGGCTCCTGGGGAGACTGGTGTGCCCAGCTCAAATTTTGGGGTTCCTCTTTACCCTGCTGGGCTCCCTCAGCCTCTGCTCTGCTGCCTCTGACAGGTTATCCCGCAGAAAGACTCGGAGCAGCCAGCTGAGCTCCCGGCGCCTCCGTAGCAAGGACAACGTGCAGAAGCTGGCCACGGTGGTGGGGGAGAATGGCTCCGTCCTGCGACGGGTGACTCGTGCTGCAGCTGCAGCTGCGGCTGCGGCTGCGGCTGCGGCTGCAGCTGCCTCCATGACATTGGCTACACCTTCATCCCCCCCTGAGTCTCCTACAGTGCTGACCAAGAAGCCCGAGGACAACCTTGCCCAGGGCCAGCTGGTGCCCATGGTGGAGATAGGCCTCAGAGAGCGCCAGAATGCTGAGCACCACTTCATCCAGTTCAAATCCACCCAGGCTGTGTCTCAGGCTCTGTCCCCAACCCCAGCTTCAGCCACAGCTCCAGCCTCACAGGGTGTCCTGACATCGGATGAAGAATCAACGCCCAAAAAGACAGAGGCCAGGAGGCTGGAGTCTGTCACTGTGAGCTCCCTGATGACTACACCCCAGCACTGCAAGGGTCGAGGGGTTGGGACAGGACGGTCTGCCTCCAAGCTCAGGATTGCAGGGGTCTCCCAGGGCCCACGAGACTCGCCTGCCTCTCCAGACTCTCCGTGGCAGGAGCGGGTGCTGTCTCCCATCCTGCCGAATAACTTCTCCACACCCGCGGGCTCCTCTGTGGACATTCGGTCAGTGCGGCGTAGCCTGATTGCCCCGTCCTCCCAGGGTCCCCAAGTCTTGCTGGCCCAAAAGTACTCCCCAGTGGCCAAACAGGAGGGTACCGTACACAGGGCAAGCAGAAGGCTCTCCAAGAAGGCTGCTGAAGAGCCAGCGGCCTCTGCCCGCATCATCTGTGAGTCTGGGGGCTCAGCCATATCGGGGGCAGGGTGGGTGGTCCTTGGTGCCTGGCTGAGATGGAGGGTTTCTGAGGGACCATCTAGCAAGGAACTGTCCATAGATCTTTCTGTGATGATGCAAATGTTCCCCATCTGTGCTATGTTGTGCAGTAGCCACCATCTAACCACATGTGGCTATTGTGTCTTCAAAACGTGGCTGGTCTGATCAAGGAACTGAATTGTAAATTGTATTACATTTTACTTTTAGATTTAAATAGCCACATGTAGCTAGTGGCTACTGTATTGGAAGGTGCAGATCCAACCCAACCTTGTTTTACGAATGGGGAAACAGGTTTTGGGAGGTTGGCCACAGTGTCCCTGTGGTTAATGGCCATGTTGAGGCTGGAACCTGGGTCTTTTTCTCCAGGGCCAGTGTTTTCCTCCCCCTTTCCTATGCTGCAGAAGCTATTTAAATTCACTATGTTTGTGTACCGCTTCCTATTAGCGAAACTGTTTGGTCTGGAGGTGTGACTTCTCATTGTAGCAGGCTCATTCTGGGACAACAGATGACCAAAATCTGATCAGAGGCAGGAGGGGGAGAAACAAGATAGCTCTGGAGCCGGATGGCATGGGTTTGGGTTCCTGCTTAGCTGTTTACCCATACTGCGACCTTGGGCAGGTTTCAGAAACTTCATGGGCCTTGGTTCCTCACCTCTCAACTGGGGATTAATAATAATGTCACTTCAAAGGGTCATTGTGAGGCTTTGACTAACCTACACAGGATGTTTAGATTGGTACCTGGTATGTAGGAAGGCTCAGTAACGTTAGCTGATCTTGTCATCATCAGATCTCAGCTCTGGGGACCATTGCCCACTGGGAGCAGGTGTCATGAGCCACAGAGGAGAGTCTGGGCCGGCTGCATGAGTAGGTGGGGTCTGAGCTGGGAGGGTTTTGAAGGATGGCTACACTTTTGCCAGATGGGAAAAATGTGGGGATAGGTATTCCTGGCAGAGGGAACAGCTTGTACAAAGACCCTGAGGGCTAAAATAGCAAATGATGGGGTATCTGGGGCACATGTGCCTCACAAGGAGCTTGAACTCGACCCTTTGAAGGAGAGGAAGTGGTCTGACAACGGTTGTTGGAAGGTTCCTCTCACCTTGTGACAAATGGCCAAGAGGAAGGGAGGGAAGGAAGCAGGAGACCAGGTAGGCTGCACGGGTCTAGGCCAGAGCATGAGCGAAGCAGCGGACTGATGGAAAGGATAAAACGGGCCAGCTTTTATATTAATCTGTATTAAATAGTAGCTGGCATCTGCCTGGCACTTAAGATTTATAAAAAGCAAAGGTCATTTTATTTGGGCCTTGTAGCAGCACTGCTAGCTTGTTGGGATTCCCCCACTTCACAGAGGAGGAAACTGAGGCTTAAGGAGGCCACAGAGTCTGTATGTTGGGAAGTGGGACTTGAGCCCTGCATGTTTCATTCTGTCCAGAAAGGTAGGCACTTGCAGAGGAGGCCTTGTGGAAAACCCCGGGCAGGGTCCATCAGGCAGGTGAGGGCACCTTGCCTTGGCAGGTTTCTTCCTGGCCAGTAGCACTGCCTGGGGCAGGGCCTGCTCCAGGGCTTGGGTGTGTGCAAATGTGCAGTCTGGCACAATGTCCATGTTTGGAGTCCACGAAGGACCTAGGTGGTTCAGATCTGCCTTGGAGATTTCCTCAAGCCTGGATCTGATCCTGGGAAGGGGCCCAGGGGGCAGGCAAGCCTGGAGGAAGGACCCGGTGGGGCAGATAACCCAGATCTGCAGCTCCTACGCCCTTCTAATGGGCCGTCCTCCTCGGCCCCTTTCCTGCTCATGGGTGGGCTCCTGATTTGATTGGCACGTGTGACCCAAGTCTATCTGACTGCAAGCCCAGTCTTGTCCTCCTTGAGGTGGAAGGAAGAGGGAGGGGAAGAGGCAAGATCCAGGATCTGGAGCCACACAGACCCTGGGTAACCCTGGCACACCCCTTCTCTCAATCTCAGTTTCCCTATCTGTGAAACGGTGATAATACCTGCTTTGAATTGGAGTAGAGAACCCATCTTAGTGCTTGAGTATGGTACATGCTCTGTAAATCTTATTTAAGCAAAACAAACGATAAGACCCAGGAACAGCTGTGTCCCTGGCGCTCAGTGTAGGTGTGGTCAGGCTGACCCTGAACAAGGAACTACAAGGACATGGGGCAGTGATGGGGTAGGAGGCTTCCTGAAGGCCTTCCTGACCCCAGGCTCTGGGTTGTGACTCAAGGGCATCTCTGAGGTGGGGTCTGGGTTTGGGTTCCCCCAGAAGGAGCCTTAGATGCAAAGATTTGAGTGCAACTTGTTAATTTTGGAGGGGAAGGAAACACCTGCAGCAGAGGAGTGGGGAAGTGAGACAGACTGGCAGTTAAGGATGGGCATGCGGGTCTGGAAGCCAGCGTGGGGTACTGGGGTAAGGAGCTGCTGTGGGGGACATGAATCCCTGGCCCCTGGCCTGGTGTGCATCTGCTGGAGAGGGCCACCGGGCAGCAGTTCTGCGGTGGTTAGGCAGGGGACAGCACAGCTGCTTCAGGGCTTCTGGAGTGTCCTCTTTAGGGGTCCTGGCCACCTGTGCATTGGGGAAGAGCCCCTTGGTCCCTCTGCCAGGCTGTAGTCCACCTTCCTGCCACCAGACTGGCTCTGAGGCCCCAGGGGCATGATGGTGGCACTTAACATTCCAGTCCTTGTGCTAGTGGGGTGGCTGTGCATTCATGTGGATATCTTCTTGCCGTTCTGTCCCCTCATCAGGGAGAACCTTGAGGAAGGGGACAGTCACCACCCATAACTGCCTGCCTGGCCCTGCAGCTGTTCCCCTTACGCCCGAGCCTGACTGTTACACCCAAGAAAGGTCCTGCTTGCCTTCTCTCTGTGGCTGGCCGGTTGTCTTCCCTCTTTCGCTGACACCCTGGGCACCCCAGCCTCACCCTGGCTGCCTCTCAGCCTTACTTCTGGCGACGTTCCTGTGGCTCAGGACGCGCCAGCCAAGCCGGCCATCTTTCCATTCCCTGGAAAAGCCTCTTTTTCCCTGCCCCCTGGCCTGGGCAGGAGGTTTTCCTTTTCCTAGACCAGTGTCACTCAAGTTTTGGTCTCAGCACCTGCTTCCAGTTTTTAAAATTATTGAGGACCTTAAAAAGCTCTTGACTATTAGGTTATATCTATTGATAATCACTGTATCAGAAATTAAAACTGAGGAATTTAAAAATATTAAAAATACTATTTATTTTTATGTTAATATGATTTAATACTTCAATATTAAAGGCTTTAAGATACTAATATTTTAATATTAAAATATTAGTATCTTAAAGCCTTTAATATTGAAGTATTAAATCATATTAACATAAAAATAAATAGTATTTTTAATATTTTTAAATTCCTCAGTTTTAATTTCTGATACAGTGATTATCAATAGATATAACCTAATAGTCAAGAGCTTTTTAAGGTCCTCAATAATTTTAAAAACTGGAAGCAGGTGCTGAGACCAAAACTTGAGTGACACTGGTCTAGGAAAAGGAAAACCTCCTGCCCAGGCCAGGGGGCAGGGAAAAAGAGGCTTTTCCAGGGAATGGAAAGATGGCCGGCTTGGCTGGCGCGTCCTGAGCCACAGGAACGTCGCCAGAAGTAAGGCTGAGAGGCAGCCAGGGTGAGGCTGGGGTGCCCAGGGTGTCAGCGAAAGAGGGAAGACAACCGGCCAGCCACAGAGAGAAGGCAAGCAGGACCTTTCTTGGGTGTAACAGTCAGGCTCGGGCGTAAGGGGAACAGCTGCAGGGCCAGGCAGGCAGTTATGGGTGGTGACTGTCCCCTTCCTCAAGGTTCTCCCTGATGAGGGGACAGAACGGCAAGAAGATATCCACATGAATGCACAGCCACCCCACTAGCACAAGGACTGGAATGTTAAGTGCCACCATCATGCCCCTGGGGCCTCAGAGCCAGTCTGGTGGCAGGAAGGTGGACTACAGCCTGGCAGAGGGACCAAGGGGCTCTTCCCCAATGCACAGGTGGCCAGGACCCCTAAAGAGGACACTCCAGAAGCCCTGAAGCAGCTGTGCTGTCCCCTGCCTAACCACCGCAGAACTGCTGCCCGGTGGCCCTCTCCAGCAGATGCACACCAGGCCAGGGGCCAGGGATTCATGTCCCCCACAGCAGCTCCTTACCCCAGTACCCCACGCTGGCTTCCAGACCCGCATGCCCATCCTTAACTGCCAGTCTGTCTCACTTCCCCACTCCTCTGCTGCAGGTGTTTCCTTCCCCTCCAAAATTAACAAGTTGCACTCAAATCTTTGCATCTAAGGCTCCTTCTGGGGGAACCCAAACCCAGACCCCACCTCAGAGATGCCCTTGAGTCACAACCCAGAGCCTGGGGTCAGGAAGGCCTTCAGGAAGCCTCCTACCCCATCACTGCCCCATGTCCTTGTAGTTCCTTGTTCAGGGTCAGCCTGACCACACCTACACTGAGCGCCAGGGACACAGCTGTTCCTGGGTCTTATCGTTTGTTTTGCTTAAATAAGATTTACAGAGCATGTACCATACTCAAGCACTAAGATGGGTTCTCTACTCCAATTCAAAGCAGGTATTATCACCGTTTCACAGATAGGGAAACTGAGATTGAGAGAAGGGGTGTGCCAGGGTTACCCAGGGTCTGTGTGGCTCCAGATCCTGGATCTTGCCTCTTCCCCTCCCTCTTCCTTCCACCTCAAGGAGGACAAGACTGGGCTTGCAGTCAGATAGACTTGGGTCACACGTGCCAATCAAATCAGGAGCCCACCCATGAGCAGGAAAGGGGCCGAGGAGGACGGCCCATTAGAAGGGCGTAGGAGCTGCAGATCTGGGTTATCTGCCCCACCGGGTCCTTCCTCCAGGCTTGCCTGCCCCCTGGGCCCCTTCCCAGGATCAGATCCAGGCTTGAGGAAATCTCCAAGGCAGATCTGAACCACCTAGGTCCTTCGTGGACTCCAAACATGGACATTGTGCCAGACTGCACATTTGCACACACCCAAGCCCTGGAGCAGGCCCTGCCCCAGGCAGTGCTACTGGCCAGGAAGAAACCTGCCAAGGCAAGGTGCCCTCACCTGCCTGATGGACCCTGCCCGGGGTTTTCCACAAGGCCTCCTCTGCAAGTGCCTACCTTTCTGGACAGAATGAAACATGCAGGGCTCAAGTCCCACTTCCCAACATACAGACTCTGTGGCCTCCTTAAGCCTCAGTTTCCTCCTCTGTGAAGTGGGGGAATCCCAACAAGCTAGCAGTGCTGCTACAAGGCCCAAATAAAATGACCTTTGCTTTTTATAAATCTTAAGTGCCAGGCAGATGCCAGCTACTATTTAATACAGATTAATATAAAAGCTGGCCCGTTTTATCCTTTCCATCAGTCCGCTGCTTCGCTCATGCTCTGGCCTAGACCCGTGCAGCCTACCTGGTCTCCTGCTTCCTTCCCTCCCTTCCTCTTGGCCATTTGTCACAAGGTGAGAGGAACCTTCCAACAACCGTTGTCAGACCACTTCCTCTCCTTCAAAGGGTCGAGTTCAAGCTCCTTGTGAGGCACATGTGCCCCAGATACCCCATCATTTGCTATTTTAGCCCTCAGGGTCTTTGTACAAGCTGTTCCCTCTGCCAGGAATACCTATCCCCACATTTTTCCCATCTGGCAAAAGTGTAGCCATCCTTCAAAACCCTCCCAGCTCAGACCCCACCTACTCATGCAGCCGGCCCAGACTCTCCTCTGTGGCTCATGACACCTGCTCCCAGTGGGCAATGGTCCCCAGAGCTGAGATCTGATGATGACAAGATCAGCTAACGTTACTGAGCCTTCCTACATACCAGGTACCAATCTAAACATCCTGTGTAGGTTAGTCAAAGCCTCACAATGACCCTTTGAAGTGACATTATTATTAATCCCCAGTTGAGAGGTGAGGAACCAAGGCCCATGAAGTTTCTGAAACCTGCCCAAGGTCGCAGTATGGGTAAACAGCTAAGCAGGAACCCAAACCCATGCCATCCGGCTCCAGAGCTATCTTGTTTCTCCCCCTCCTGCCTCTGATCAGATTTTGGTCATCTGTTGTCCCAGAATGAGCCTGCTACAATGAGAAGTCACACCTCCAGACCAAACAGTTTCGCTAATAGGAAGCGGTACACAAACATAGTGAATTTAAATAGCTTCTGCAGCATAGGAAAGGGGGAGGAAAACACTGGCCCTGGAGAAAAAGACCCAGGTTCCAGCCTCAACATGGCCATTAACCACAGGGACACTGTGGCCAACCTCCCAAAACCTGTTTCCCCATTCGTAAAACAAGGTTGGGTTGGATCTGCACCTTCCAATACAGTAGCCACTAGCTACATGTGGCTATTTAAATCTAAAAGTAAAATGTAATACAATTTACAATTCAGTTCCTTGATCAGACCAGCCACGTTTTGAAGACACAATAGCCACATGTGGTTAGATGGTGGCTACTGCACAACATAGCACAGATGGGGAACATTTGCATCATCACAGAAAGATCTATGGACAGTTCCTTGCTAGATGGTCCCTCAGAAACCCTCCATCTCAGCCAGGCACCAAGGACCACCCACCCTGCCCCCGATATGGCTGAGCCCCCAGACTCACAGATGATGCGGGCAGAGGCCGCTGGCTCTTCAGCAGCCTTCTTGGAGAGCCTTCTGCTTGCCCTGTGTACGGTACCCTCCTGTTTGGCCACTGGGGAGTACTTTTGGGCCAGCAAGACTTGGGGACCCTGGGAGGACGGGGCAATCAGGCTACGCCGCACTGACCGAATGTCCACAGAGGAGCCCGCGGGTGTGGAGAAGTTATTCGGCAGGATGGGAGACAGCACCCGCTCCTGCCACGGAGAGTCTGGAGAGGCAGGCGAGTCTCGTGGGCCCTGGGAGACCCCTGCAATCCTGAGCTTGGAGGCAGACCGTCCTGTCCCAACCCCTCGACCCTTGCAGTGCTGGGGTGTAGTCATCAGGGAGCTCACAGTGACAGACTCCAGCCTCCTGGCCTCTGTCTTTTTGGGCGTTGATTCTTCATCCGATGTCAGGACACCCTGTGAGGCTGGAGCTGTGGCTGAAGCTGGGGTTGGGGACAGAGCCTGAGACACAGCCTGGGTGGATTTGAACTGGATGAAGTGGTGCTCAGCATTCTGGCGCTCTCTGAGGCCTATCTCCACCATGGGCACCAGCTGGCCCTGGGCAAGGTTGTCCTCGGGCTTCTTGGTCAGCACTGTAGGAGACTCAGGGGGGGATGAAGGTGTAGCCAATGTCATGGAGGCAGCTGCAGCCGCAGCCGCAGCCGCAGCCGCAGCTGCAGCTGCAGCACGAGTCACCCGTCGCAGGACGGAGCCATTCTCCCCCACCACCGTGGCCAGCTTCTGCACGTTGTCCTTGCTACGGAGGCGCCGGGAGCTCAGCTGGCTGCTCCGAGTCTTTCTGCGGGATAACCTGTCAGAGGCAGCAGAGCAGAGGCTGAGGGAGCCCAGCAGGGTAAAGAGGAACCCCAAAATTTGAGCTGGGCACACCAGTCTCCCCAGGAGCCACCAGCTGGGATGGAACTGGGATGGAACAAGAATTAGAGGGCTTGGAGGCAAAAGATCTGAGTTCCTGTCCAGGCTCTGCCACCTCTAGCCCTGAGGACATTTCTGTCTGAGCCTCAGTCTTCCCAAATGTAAACTGGAGATAATGCCACAGTCCTCACAGAACTGCTAGGAAGATTAAATTCATACCAACTTCCCTCTCACTGAAGTCACATTCTCCCAAGCCCTGCTGAAAACGTTACACACATGCTCTCACTTAACCTGCAAGACATCCCTGAGAGGTAGGTACCATCATGCCCACTTTAGAGATGAGGGAACTGACACTCTGAGAGGTAGAAACTCAACCCAAAGACTGCTAAGGGGCAGAGTTGGAGGTTATACCCAGGCCTGACCCCAAGCCCCTGCCTCTTTCTCCAGTGCTCTGCAGCCCGATCATTCTATGGGGAATTACAACAAGCATGGCCATAGGAGGACAGGAGACCAGCTGCCTGGTCCACACCTCTGGTTGCTCTCACCTAAAAGGAGGTCAGTTTCTCTTTCCTGTCCCACCTCTGAAAATCTTTCCCATCCTCCAAGGCCCAGGTCAAACACCCCCAACCCCACCACAAGCACAGATGCACCATCTGGACTCCATGGTCTCAGGTCGTGCTTTGCTTTCCCGCACCCTTGGGCTCCTCAGTGTGACTCACGTGGCACCCATCGCCAGCCCTGCAGGCTGCTACTTCCAGTCAACACCTTTGGAACCAAACTCTCCCAGAGGGCACCAAGCCTCCGCAGAGTCCACCTGCCTAGCTCACCCTCCCCTGTCCCCTACCTTTTCCTCATGGGATCTCTGTTTTCATCCTGAACATAAGAAACTCGTCTCTTCTTCCGTCGGTTCTTCTGAGAAGGTGTTTTGGGCATCAGCTCTGGCTCTTTGCTGAATTCTCTGTTTGGTACAAGGAGGGTGACACTCAAGGCTGCCTGGGAACCACTCTCCTACCTGACCTAGCCCCTGCCCATTTCTTGGCAGTGACAGGTCAAGCTGGAGTGACCAGCACCAAACAAGTTCTCCAAGGCCATGTGCAAGTTACTGGCTAGGCACTCAAGGTATCCTCCTGGAAACATGGCAGGGAAGCAAGATCACACCCTGAGAGGGCCAGCCCAACCAACTATGGTGAGCCAGGCAAGGGACTCTAACCTTTCCTTCTTCTTCCCATGACACTAAGTTGGGCTCCTAGCATACTGGATACTCAGGAGGGATCCAACAGGTTGTCCATTTTGTCTGTCAAGTAGGGCTGTTCTGTCCCCAAGGCCACACATAGCAGCCCAGGAAGCCCCTGGAGTCCCTACCCCACCAGTGTACCCCTGCCCTTACCTGGTGAACATGCGCTCAGCCTCCTCTTGGATCTCCTCGAGCCACACCAAGTCCTTATTGTCCATGTTGCAGAGAAACTCCATGAGCTTCTGGTCACAGAGCTCCAGCAGGTGAATGGGCCCTGGGGCTGTCGTCCCCATGATGACTGTGTCTGGTGAAGGCAGGGACAAGAGGCACAAGGGTTCAGGGTGGAGGACTGGTACCTTTGACAGGGGAAGAGGCTGCCAGGCCACATGCAACACCTACCTCCCAATCACCACAATCACCCAGTGTCTGAACCAAAGCCCTGCCCTGCACACAGCCACTCCCCAGAGCTGCAGAATTCCAAACACCAATCCCCTAGCCTCATTTCTACAAAAAGAGGGGCCCTTCTACTCTACCTCTTCCCCATACCCTACCCCACACACAGCATGGCTGCCCCCAAAAATCCACATTTCCCAGCCAATCCTGATATCAATGGTCCTCCTTAAAAACAGCCTTTCCTGGGCTTAAGATGACAGGCACTGCCACCTGCCTTCCTGGATCAGGGAGAAACAGCAGCCACCCCCGTGCCCCTCTCTCCCTGCCCAAACACAGTTCTGCTCTTACTCTCCCGTGGGCTCTCCTCTTACTATTTATTTTTGGTTAAGGAAGGGCTAAGACAGCCACCATGTGCTACATTCGAGCTGACCCCAGACATCAGGCCAAAGAACACCAAATCCAACTGCCTCGTTCTTGCCCAGTGAATGGAAGGGGTTCCGTGTTACAAAGGAGTAAGAAAGTAGGGGTCCAGAAACAGCTCTCCAAAGGGCCCCCCACAACCCTCTCCCTTAAGCTGAAATGCCCTATAAATGGATGAAGGAGCATAAAGGGAACTGATGAGTAATGTCTTGCTTTTAAGAAAACTTGCATCTACAAGAATAGAGTAAGGAAAAATACAAAACCAGTTTTTTCTTAAAAAAACTAGCCACTCAGGTATCCGTCTTAAGACTTGGTTATAAAATCACCACAAAAATCCCAAACAAGGAAATAGTAGTCAGTCCTCTGTACCTGTGGGTTCTGAAACCATGAATTCAACCAATCGTGGGTCAAAAATATTTGAAAAAAAAATTGCATCTGTACTGAACATGTACAGAAATTTTTTCCTTGTCATAATTTCCTAAACAATACAGTATAACAACTATTTGCATAGTTTTTACATTGTATTAGGTAATATAATACTCTAGAGATGAATTAAAGCATACGGGAGGATGTGTGTACGCCATTTTACATCAGGGACTTGAGCACCTACGGACTTTGGTATCAGAGGGAGGTCCTAGAACCAATCCCCCAGGGATACCAAGGAACAACTATATTCTATTACATCATCTCATGGGCTCATTAATATCCCAACTGGTGAATGAATGAAAGAACAAATGAATGGTGGTGGTTGTAAACCATAATAACAGACTGCACATCTCATGTCATGGCAGTGACTCACTGCCCTGATCTATACCTTCAAAACCAAGAAGAACCACGCAAAGCTCCCACCTATGATGGAAGGTCCTGGAAGGAGGGCCTAAGTTGCTGACCCCTTGATCCCTCAAAGAGCTTAACACCAACCAGGTCAGGTTAATGGGACTTCTTAGGGCCTGATTTAGGGGAAACATTAGCATTTGTTCCTTGATAAGCTCTGCCCTCTGTCTGGAACATTCTGTCTCCCATTTTGTATGACTTGCTCCTCATCACTTGAATCCTCAGGGGACGCTGACCACAATCTAAAGTAGCCCCAGCCAGGATCCCATCCATTGATTTCAATTCTCTGCATAGCACTCGGGTGATTGTTTACCTATTTGCTTACCGTCTGTCTCTGCCCACTGAATGTTTGCTCCCTGAGGGAAAACCCTGGCTGTCTTATCACTAAATGTCCAGAGCCCAGCAGTGCCTGACAACAAGAAATACTTGCTGAATAAATTAGTTCGTCCATTAACTCTACACCTAGAAATAAACATCCTACAGGTGCCCCTCCCCACCACCACCACCACCACTACACAAGGGGCACCAAATGAACTCACTCTGCACAGGTTAGGTCAGGCCAACACACGTCCAAAACTCCTGCTTCTAAATGCCAAGCACTACTCTGGGCAGGGCCAAATGGGCAGGATTGCACAGGCTTTGGGCAGAAACCTTGGCTCTGCAGCCAGCCTGTCATAGGCAAGGCCTTTTCACCGCCATCCCTCTTGCTTCCCCCAGCCCCTCTGCACCAGGACCACAGCCCTGGCAAAGTGCAGGACCTCAGGTCTAGGCCAGCAAAAAGAAAATGCTTAAGGAAGATAAAGGTTTGCAGAGGAACTGCAGAATGCAACAACTGGCTTACTTTTTAAAAAAATGTTTGTTCAAATTGGCAAAGTGGGTGAGAACTTCTTTTGTAAAGTCCAAAAAAGCATTTGGATTTCTTTCACGGGGAAGTTTGTTTTTGTTTTTAGCAGACCTTAGTTTGGCCATTTAAAAAAAGTCACCAAAGTTAGAACACAGGTGATCACGAGAAAAGTCAGTGTTCCAAGGACCAGGCTCCTGGGAGGAGCAACAAAAACCTCATCTTCAGCAAGTTAAGAACCTCCATGCAGACCCAGAGCACCCAACATGCCACCAAGGGAGATCCTCTCCACAGTCTTCCTCCAACATTTCTCCCACACCGTACACCAGACGAGAGCGCTTACTGCCCTCCTCCGTGACTCCTGTTCTTTCGAAGGTGCAGCAAGTCGGGCACCTGTCTACCACACTTCGGTCATAAAAGCTCGTCCCATTCACTGAGTCCTACTCCACGCCCAAGCCAGACATCATCTCACTTCATTCTCACCACAACCTCGAGGATACCCACGCGCAGATGCGGAAAACTGAGCCAAAGAGAAGTTAAGTCAAAGCCATTCGGTAAATCAGGGGCGGAGGCTGGATTTAAACTCGTCTCCTAACCACTAAGCTATACCGCCTCCTGGTCATCCACCTCTGAAAGGCAGGGACCAGGTCTTGGCTCTGGGCAGCCCCACGAGCAGCCCGCGGTAGCTGGATCGAACTGAACCGCTGACAGCGAACGAGCTTAGGGAGTGACAAGGGGCGGCACCGGCCTCCAGAAATAGTCCGTTTAAAACGCTGCTCAGCTGGGGTGGGGGCGGCGAGCGAGGGGATTCACTGTACAGAAACGCCATCTGGCATAATTCCGCCAGAAAACCGGGTCGGTTTCGGGCTTCCCGCGCGTCCACTTCAACAAGGAGCCTCTCAGGCAAGAAACGAGCAGCGAGGCACCCGGGAGGGGGAGGGGACGGGGTTATTCTCTGGGGACTTGAGGGCCTAGGAGGAAGGTGCGGGATGGGCTCATCTCAGACCCGCGGACCCAGGCAGGCCACCTCCCCACTTGGAAGAGGCGACCCTCACATTCCCCCAGGCCGCAAGGGGCGGGGGTGGGGGGGTCACGCCCCAGGTCCGGAGTTGGCCGGGTGAGGGAGAGGGCGGAGGAACAAATCACTAACCACCCTTCGGGCGGCCGCTCGCACGCACTCACTTGTCTGCACCGCGTCTCCTGAGGGCTGCTCCGATCCAAGTCCAGCGGTCTCCCTAGCTGAGCCCCTGCCTGCCCAGACCCTCTCGGCCCCGGGAGTTCAGGGCTCACCACACGGGAGTACCAACCAGGCGGCGCAGCGCGGGCGAAAGCTATGATTTTTAAAACTGAAGGCTCAGCCAATCCTCGGCAAGTTTTCCTGGACGGTTGCAAAACTCTAAGCCAATCAGGCAACAGGAAGCACCAGTCAGGTCCCCTATTGGCTGTCTGGATCGGCAATCTGAGGGACTAAGAGGCGGGGAAAGGAGGCGAAGACTCTTTAAGCCGCCTCAGCTTCCGTGAGCCTCGGCCCACGGCTGAGGAAGGAAGTCGGCGGTCGTGGAGGTGCGCGCGGCGCCCGCTGGCCCGGAACTACGAGCCCCAGAGTGCACTGCGAAGGCCCCGCGCGGTGGGAGGAAGCAGGATGCAGGGTGGACTCGTCCCCCAGGCTGTGCTCGTCCGGAGCCTGGCACTTGGCCATTTCTGGGTCCAACTTTCTCTTCCTCACAAGGGGACAGCCTTCCGACCTCTGCCGCTTTTCAGAAATAAAAAGAAAATGCTTTGTAAATCACAACAGGGAGTGTATGTATATAGAG